CTCTTGGAGGAGAGACGAAACGTTTCATTAGAGAAGAACCCGTCCAGAAGACCTATACTATTTTTTTCTTTTTGATCTTTTTAGGTTGTTCTACCTGGATTTTTGAGATGCATCAGGACATCAATAAAACTAGTTCTCATTTCTGTCAAACCAACTCTGCGGCACCTCAGGTCGTCCTGTCCTACGCCTCCTGAAGGACAGGACCGCTCAGCTGTTTCCTGTGCAGATATGTTGAACAGAAAGCATTTATAAAATGTTAAACGACACTGCCACCTGAAAAGAGGACAGAGAGGTGATGGATGTCTCCGAGTGCTGCAGGAAACTCTGACACTTTGATGGATGTGACCCTCCACACCGTTCTAGACTTAAAGAGAAAGAAACGAATTTATCAATCAAATTAACCTCATGTGGGTTATTGTTTAAATAGAAAACAAATAAAYGACGTCCACAAATGTCTCAGATCTTCTCCCTTTGCTCTTGTCCTCCTGTCATTTGTCTGCCTTATCTGAGCTGCAGGACTGAGTGCATGTTCAGATAGGCCGGACATCCATTATCGGTCCGAGACAAACCTGATTAGAGCCTTGTTAAAAGAATTATTCTAGAGGAGAGGGGACCGTCAGGATTGTCACTTTCGCAGCGGTCTCTGCTCCGTGACGGTCACCTGAGCCAAAACAACGCTTGGTGAAAAAAAAAACCCTCCTACTTCAGAACCCCGATCCACAGAATATCTCTGTCAGGTTTGAGGACCCATCCATGACCCGATTCCAGTGTTCTGGCTGTTTTTCACTAAGACTTGAAGTACTCACAGAAGTTTGTCTTTGCCAAAACAACAGCTCAAAGCATGTTTTCACCTCTGTGCTCGACTGAGTCATCCTCTTCCTCCGAACACGACGGGCTGATACCAAAGAGCCGAATTTGTCCGACCACAGCACTTTTTCTTCTTTTGAATCATCCAGATGGTTTCTGGTAGAGGTGATGGGATACTTCTCAAAGTACAAGTATTTCAGTTTGAGTACTCACTGATAAAAGAGTACTTCCTGAGTCAGACCCTAAACTTTACACGACTTTATAGGCCAGGGGTCTCCAACCTGTGGCTCTTTGAAGCTTTGACCAAAATTAACATGAGATTGAATATCTTTTTTAGTTTTCGCAGCGTTCTTGTCCAACTCTTTTCAAACATGACTGACATGTGGAGTGAAACATGTTGATTAGATCATGCTGGTAGTTTGTTGTTCAACTTCCAGCCTTACAGTCTCGTCTAGTTATAGACTTAGACTGCTGGAGCACAAACTGAGCACATTTCCTCACTCTGCTGTTGTCTTTAGTCTCTCTTCTCTACATGTTTATTGTTATTATTTCTATCATGTTTTTTCTGTGTCTCTTTCCTGTCCCTCAACCAGCCGGTCGAGGCAGATGGTCTCCTGTCCTGAGCCTGGTTCTGCTGGAGGTTTCTTCCTGATTAGCAGGGAGTTTTTCCTCTCCACCGTTTGCTCAGGATGGGAGACTGTGATGAAGTGATTCAACACAATCTGCTGCTTTCTTCTTTACATTGTTCTTTTTATGTACAGTGTCCTGAGACAACGTATGCTGTGACTTGGCGTTATATAAATAAACTTGAACTCTTAGTTCTCAAATTTACAAGAATGTTTTGAAAACCTTTAAGTCAAACTGCTGAAAAGAAATATGGTGATTTGATCAAATCACAAGAATAAAGAAAAAAATAAACCACATGCCTGCAAGGCTGTGTTTTAGTTTTTAATAAATTTGGTATAAACTCTATTTTGTTTTCTTCTTTACATGAATGTGATCTTTTCATTTCTAAGGTAAAAATAATTATAAATGTTAAATATCAAAGCAACAGTTTAAAGTAGAAGAGAATCAGTACCAGAGGATTGATACTGGTCTCTGAAGGAGTATTATACTAATACTTGTAAAAATGCTGGTATCAGGACCCCACTAGTTATCGTCATCATCATCCTCACCCAGCTCGTTAAGCTCGTTAACTCCGTCAGACTTCCTGCTCCTTGTTTTAATKGTAAAAAGATCCGTACTTCCTGTTTTGACTTTCACGCTTCGGCTGCAGCGGGACGTTCAAACGAGGCTCCGTGACGCGGAGCGCCTGGCGATGAGTGGAGCGGTCATTTCCACGGCCGTTAGGAGCGTTTAATGACCTCATTTCTCACAGATCAAACGTGGGGGGGTGAGGTGATCCCCCGCGACTCAGAGACGCAGTGGAAAGATTGAACTTGCTGAGTCAGGGTTTCTCCTTCAGGTATTTCATCTAATTAGAGTCCGTCTGCTCTTATCAAAGCTGCTTCCTTATCGCTGCTGTATTTAATTAGAGCAATAATTCTAATTAAAAGAATAAGTTGAGTTCTGTCCTGGAACATGAATAAAAGTTGGGCAGCAGTGGAGAGGATTAATGACTGATTTTTTTTTATTTTTGTACTAAAATCTGGATCAAAGCAGCACAAACAGCCAGAACACACATTGTTTTCATTTACTTTATTTTTTTTTTTTTTGATTTATGATTTTTTGTTGTTTTTTTTTCTTGCTATCTCTGTATTTGAAACTACATGCTGGACTTGGGGGGGCAACACATTAGATTGTTTTTAAAACAAACATCTACTCAAATCCTTCACCTGTCAGTGAGCAAAGCATGATTACAGCTAATAAAAATAAAGGTTTACTTTTTTTCTTTGCTTTTTTTGTTATTTTTTTACACAGAAAATAAAAAACACTTTTTTTGGACCCCCTCGAAAACAGGGGTATTAAAATATTTGACATTTGTATCACAAATCAATGTAATGAGACCAAAAAAAAAACAACCTAAAAATAAACACAAAACTGTACAAGAATGATAAAATTCATTAAAAAGATTGTTTTCCTGGAGGTCGTGATGCAACAAGTACATGAAGTTGTTTTACTGACCGTAAAAGCAAAAAATAAAAAGAGATTATTTCTTCTGCTGGATGAAATTCAGGTTGACTGGATGCCGGACGTGAGGGACCAGAGGGAAGTTTGGGTTCGGCTGCATCACAGAACCTGTTCAACGACAAACAAAAAGGATCAGGACTCAGGAGAACCGGTCCGGAGAACCTCTGGGTCCGGTAAGACCCGCCTGACCTTGGGCCACGAAGGTCTTTCCCAGCTGGAAGTCTCTGCTGCCCTGCTGGAGGAAGTTCTGCGGCATCCTGTAGGGCCACGATGGGGACAGGGTGTACTGCGGCGGTTTGTTGTGCTCCCAGAGCCGCGAGGCCTGGCTCAGAGCGTCCAGCTGGGCCTGGTGGGCCGACTCTGCAGAACCAGAACCAGAACCAGACTGACAGGTCAGAGCTCCTTTCACCTGGATTCAAACAGACCTGTCCCTGTTTCAAGACCAACATTTGAAAATATGAAGGATGTCCAGCTAGATGCTAAAGGTAATGTTAGCTAGAAGCTAAAAGTAGCAAAATGCTGGCTAAAAGCAGCATAAAAGTCCCTAAAAGCAGCAAAAGGCTAGCTAAAAGTGGAATAGCAGTAGTTAAAAGCATAAAATTATAGCTGAAAGTAAAAGAAGCAAAATGGTAGCTACAACTAGCAAAATAGCAAAAAGCAACAATTAGCATGTAGCTGGCTGAAAGCTAAAAGTATCAAAAGTCTAAAAGTAAAGCAAATGAAAAGATAAAACAGTTTGAAGCAGATTTCTGAGGTTTTTTAAAGAATAAAACTGATCTTTATGAAGACCTCAGTAAAGCAGTGAAAGTGAAGCTGTGAGCAGCTAAAATCCCAGCTGAAGGCTGTGACAGGCGGTGCCACCGACCCCCCCTCAGTGAATACCTGACTTCACCACAGTGCCGTTGCCCATGAGCGACCCGGGTTGAGCCAGGTGCTCGTGCCAGTGCCCCTCCCGCCCCAGCCCCCCCACGCCCAGCTGTCTGGCCGCCGGCTGGGCGAAGATGATGCTGGGGTCGTTCAGGTTCACGGAGCCGGGGCTCCCCCCGCCGCCCGCGGGGGTCCCGTTTCCCGACACCGAGCGCAGGGCGAACTTCAGGCCGGGCGGGGAGGGGGCCGGGGCCGAGGAGGACGTGAGGACCGGGCCGTGGATGGGCCAGGTGGGGGACATGTGGACCGGGTGCGGTGGGGGCTGGCCCTGGGACTGGTGGGACTGGGGGGAGGGGAGGAGCCCCAGAGCGCTGAGGGCACTTGGGTGGTACTGACCCGAGGGGGAGGGAGGGAAGCTAAAGAGAGATAAGGGGACCTGTGCYTGGGGGGGCGTCTTCTGGGGACCAACAGACGGGGTCTTGCTGTGGGAGGGCTGAGGGGATCTGGAGGACAGGGGGGAGCTCTGCGGGACGGAGGCGGGCTGCGGGGAGTAGGGCGGAGTCTGCAGACTGTCGGACTGTCAACAGAAGAWAGAAAGATCAGATTCTGCCCTGCAGCTGGAGCTCCGCCCCCCAGCTGCTCTACTCACACACTCAGAGGGCTGCCGGGTCCTGGGGGGGCCGTCTGCGGCGCCCGGAGGGATGGGAATGGACTGGGAGCTCGGCACGCCTCGAACCATGTGAGGAGCTGAGGGGAAACAAGAACCGGGTCTTACTTCCTGGTCTTTAACCCATGACTCCGCCTCCTAAACCAGGGGTTCTGAACCTTTCTGACCTCAGAGCCCAATTTGTTGAACATAAAGWGACACGAGGTCCAGTCAGACATTACCAATGTATGGATCAAAATGATAATTATTCTAAATCTTGGTTTAATTTGTATTGTATTTACATTATAACTAAATTAAATACACTTACATTGTAAAAGTAAAACTCCTGTCAAATAATCACAAGACATGATTATAACAAACATTTTTATATTGTAACCTGCCCATAACAATAAGTATATATTTATTTTTAACACAACAAAATAGACAATTCAATAAATAAAACTGTGATCATAAAATAAATATTCAAAATGTTTAATGTTTCAAATATTAGTGATAAACAATAACAGTAACAACAGCTTTTTGACAATTTTAAAGTTTCTTTAAAATACATTCAAAATGTTTAAAAATAAACTACAAAAATTTATTTGACAAAGTACAAATTAAAATATAGTTGTATCTACAACTGTATTTTATAATGTTTGAACTTTTAAAATATTACATGGTAAAACCAGAAGCTGCTCTTCATATTAGTGACAAACTTTGACATTTTTTGACGAGTTGACTTCATTTTTGCTTCTACTTTTAATTTAAAATAAGTTTCCATTCTCAGCAGGTTTCTAAGTTTCTTCTTCTACATATTAAAAAAGTTGTTAAACATCTGAGTGGTGCACTACTGCTACTAGTGGTGAGAAAGTGTATTACACCTTATTTAAAATCAATGAGGTCCCACAGCCCTCTGCGGCCCAAAGTTAAAAACTGTTGTTCTTTTGAGGCCCTCAAGGTGGCGCTGTGGGCCACAGGTTAAGAATCTCTGTCCTAAATGCTCGTCTCTCACCTGGTGCCCCCCCAGTCCTCTGTTTGAGGTGGTGGTACTCGGGACAGTCTCTCCGAACGTGTCCAACGTCCCCACACTGGAAACACCGTCTCTCCTTCAGGTCCCGCTCCTCCTCTTTGGAGTCGTCGTCCTTCTCGTTGTCCTTCTTCTTCATTCTGAGCGTAAACGAACAGTTTAGATCGTTGGGGATACGGACTCTGACCTGGTGGTCCTGGTGGTCCTGACGGGACAGACCTGTGCTTCTTGGGGCAGTCCTTCATGTAGTGTCCGATCTTCCCGCAGATCCTGCAGCACCTGTCGTTGGGCGCCAGCTCGCCGTCCGTCAGCACCTTCGAGTCGAAGAAGTAGTCCTGCAGGGAAACCGCACGGTTCCATGAAAGGGCCGCTCAGACCGCTTTTATTTTGAAAGTATCTGTGAGGAGAGTTTACCACTTCTGTGCCGGGGATGGGATAGAAGGGCGTTCCGAACAGCTTCCGCCCGTTGATGAAGGCCTTCATGATGAAGTTGGTCACTGGATGAGGAGGAAGAGGAAACAAACAGTTCTGTTAGGATCTGACAAGGTGGGTCAGAACCGTCCTGAACCACACATTTTTAAACTTGATTTAAGTACAATAAAGGAAATAAAATACATTTATATGGGATAGTTTAACACAACACAAGAAAAGCATGAAGTTAACTTCTAAAACTACTAAAATCTAATAAATTATGACGCAGAGAAACTAATAAATTGTAAAACGACTGAATGAAAATAGATTTTTTAAACGTTTTTATTGTTCTGGATCTGATTCTGGTTTCTGTGGAGGATTAGAGCCACTGAAAAAATAATAAAACTATTTTAATCTGAAAATTCAAAGAAAAAAAGTCAGAATTATATATATATATATATTTTTCTTTCAGTTTTAATCCTTTTATATAGGTTCCAGATGAACACAGAATAGAATAGAATAGAAACAGCTTTTATTGCCCAGCAGAGGGGTAATTCAAGTGTAAAAGCAGAAACAGATACATCAATCCACAAAACAATCCATTGCTATGTGACAGTATCACCAGRATCAATAATAGTAGCATTAAAATAATAATAATAAAATTTTAAAATAAAACAGAATTAATGTACAAGGCTGTAAAGATGAAATGAGATTAAAAAAATAAGACACTGTACAGAAAAAAGAAGAAGCAGGACTTTAAATGCGAAGGAGCTAAAACTAAATCTGGATGCAAATTTTTTTTTCACAATAAGAGCCCTAAAAGTAAAATCGGACACTTACTTTTACGAGAAACTCCAGCACCGAGATTATGATTCAAATCAAAGGGATCTGAGGAGAAGAAGAGGAGAAGATGTGTGAGCAGGTCAGAGGTCCAGCAGAAAAAGCAGCTCTGGTTCAGGGTCATGTGACCACCTTCGATGGCGATGCATTTACTGGTCCACTGCTTCTCGAAGGTGGTGAGGCGTTTCTTCTGGCGAATGCTGATGACGTGTTCTTTGAAGTCGAACTCCTCCGTGTAGAAGCGCAGCAGGCCCAGCCACAGCTCGCCCACCGACTCCATGTTGGGCTGACAGCTGGAGAGGCGCTGACGCTGCGCGGAGGGAAATACACGCTCAGACCTAAAACCCCGAGCAGGAAAAGACGGCCCCCCGTGAACTCACCAGCTCCACGAGGTCGTCAAAGAAGAACGCGTTCCAGCCGTCCACCATCCGCTGTGGGACCGTCGGACCGTCGAAAATCTGGAAAAAAGACGAAACATAATAAAATACAACAATAAAAAACTAAACAGGTTCAGTGTTCAGGGCTTTTATCAAAGGTGAGCACCTCCTGCAGGACAGGGATGACGGGCGGCTGCCTCTGCTGCAGGAAGTAAAGCACCATCAGGATGTAGGCGTAAGACGAGAGGCTTCCTCTGGAGGCGTCCCCGATGTCGCAGCGCTGTGAAAACAACCAGCTTTATTTACAAACAAACAAAACATCACCTCTTTATTACAGGAAGTGGTCATGGCAAAAAAAAAAAAAAGACACGGCACAAGTGCTCCATCTAGTGGTGAAAAACTGATTCGACCAAAGCAGCTCTTAATAGTACCCGTCACATCAAACTTTAGTTATAAATATAAAAGCAGTTTTGGAAAAATAACATCATTAACATATTGTAAAAAAAAACATGTCTCTGAGATGAACACTTGTTGAGATATTCTCATGTTCAGAAACAGGAAGTGATGTCAAAGGGCAATGTCTAAATGTAAACAGAAAGTTGCTACAATAACTAACAGATTGTAGAGAAGATATTAGATTATTATGAGTCTATCAGAGAGATGAAGAGTCAAATCATGTTTTAAAAGAGCAGGAAGTTTCCCGTTGATGTCACTTCCTGTTTCTATTTGAGCCAAGTTCAAAAGATAATCTGCCAGTTATGTGACCAACAGGGTTAAACTGTGTGTTTTATATCACGTTTCCTAAATATAAAGATGTTTTCTTGAACATTTTGTATTTAAAGCGAATGTACGTCAGAGGAACTTTTAGGTTTGAAGGACATGTACGTCACAGGAACTTTTAGGTTTGAAGGACATGTACGTCAAATTAACTTTAAGTGTTGAAGGACATGTACGTCACAGGAACTTTAAGGGTAGAAGGACATGTACGTCACAGGAACTTTAAGGGTTGAAGGACATGTACGTCACAGGAACTTTAAGGGTTGAAGGACATGTACAGTATATCACAGGATCTTTAAGGTTTGTAGGACATATACATCACAGGAACTTTAAGGGTTGAAGGACATGTACGTCACAGGAACTTTAAGGGTTGAAGGACATGTACGTCACAGGAACTTTAAGGGTTGAAGGACATGTACAGTACATCAAATGAACT